GGGGGAAGCAGGGAAATTATAACACAGTAATGCAAAGACATCTGATTAATGGAGCAGTATTTATTGCACTAATAACACAAGACATTAATTACCTGTATACACGTATTATACATTATATTACAAATGGCAGTGGTGACTGGTGTAAAGACATTCTTTTTCAACATAAATTGTACACGTACAGTGAACCTCGCATCACGTTGTACAGAAGATACATAAAGTATAATATAAAAGAACGCAAAAACACTTTAAATTCAAACTGCTTATTATAGAGAATGATCAGTGTAGGAGTATACAATAATACCACTGGTACTTTGTGCAAATATATGCGAAGTTGCGTTTGCAAACAAAATAAAACTGTCCCCGTCGTTTTAAGCAAGAAAAATTCTTAAATTATGCAAACTGAGCCCAAATATGTGAAATTATGCTATTCTGTTAATTTTAACTAACAAAGAATGATAAAGGAAAATAATCCGAAATAATGCAAAAAATGATCAAATTTTGCTAAATTATGCGGGGTGCATAAAACCATGGGGACAGATTTAATACACACTTCAACATACGTTAAGGACCTTGACCCATAGTCTTGATTTTTTTTAATCCGGAAAAAAAAAAAAGAAAAAAAAGAAGAAAGAATGTTTCTCAAATTTTTGCTCTGAAAGTGTTAATGGGCAACAATGCGTACTGCAGAGCTTCCTAAAGGGTCAAAACCACCATGTGCAGCACGGAAATCCTCAGGGAATTTTAGCCAAATTTGCAGGTGGTCCTTAACTTTTGTTGAAGTCTCTATAGCCTCAACTAATAAAATAGTTAAACAGAAAACAAATGCTTCGAATATGTTCTTCTAGTAAAAACGGGGGGGGGGGACAACTGAAGAACTACATCCCTGAGTTCATTGAACATGCTTGAAGATCGGATACTTTCCTCACAAAGTGTGTCTCATGGTATATGTGAGGCAGCGTGGCGAAATCGGACGCTCGTCAAAATAATGGAAGTAAAAAATATTAAAAAACTGGCATTTTTCCACAGGTTTTAGAGTTCTTATAGTCTTCTCATTTTAGAGGGGTTTCTTAAATCGGAAAAAAAAAGTAGTGAACTTTATTTTCTTTCGGTTTATCGCTATTTTCGGGTTAGCTGTGTTCACTTTGAACGGACTTCACTGTAGTTCTATAAATAAATATATCAGACAACGAGACACAAAAGGTAAAACAATGTTGTTATCACAAAGAAAAGAGAATGGGGATGTTAGGTGTGACAATGAAGGAAACGTGAAAGTGAGTCTTGTTGGTGCTCTGTAAGACAAGCAAGAACCGGTAGAAAGAGATTCACCAGACAATCAGAACTGGGAGAATGCGAGGTTTACTGTACAATCGGAACAAAAGTTTTTTGTGAACACAAAAGGCTAACAAATAAACAAAATATCTATAAACAGTAGCATTCATATGTACAGTCTAGCACGTACGTTGCGAAACAGACACACAGGGCACAGATTTTCAAGTCCTGAATTTTTCTTTCACATATATTCTTTGTACAGCAAACACGTACATAGCGAAAAGATTTCCGCATCCGGTCGATTTCACAACGCACCTGCGAGACTATTATATCCAGACTACTCCAGCAACTTAACGAAAATTTCACATCTTTTATCGTCAGCAAAATGCACAAAAGGAAAGCATCCAGCGTCAGAGAGGATCGGCTCAAACAGCCATGTCCATCTTTATCTTGTTGTAAGGCTTGTAGTCCACAATTTCAAAATCATCAGCCTTGAAGTCCTCGATGTTGGTGACCTTGCGTTTGATGATCAGTTTGGGAAAAGGTCGAGGTTTTCTTTTCAACTGGTGGTAAAAAAAGAGAGAAAGGGAACATTTCAATATGTGAGGCAGCGTGGTGAAATCAGGCTCTCGTCAAAATAATCAAAAAGAAGAAACGCATTTTTCCGCAGGTTTGTTAATTTTTATCAAAATTTTGTTTCTTGGCTTAACACTTTTCATGCCCATAAAGGAACACATTTCTTTGTGGATTTTACTGAAAATTGTTGATTAAAGACACAAAAAAATGGTGAAAGAGCATTTTAGAGAAGAATATTTTCCAACACAGCCAGGTTTCAAACAAACCCAAGCCCTGTTGAATTAGAGGCAAAAGCTTTGAAACACCGTACCTCTAGACCACGAGAGCCCCATTCAAAAAGTTGGAGCATAGTGAAAAGTATTTTAAAAAACTAACATTTTAAAAAACTCTTTTGACCATTACAAAAAGAATGGACAAAAAACAACTTAGGCTTGCAGCATGGCAGTAAGTACCACACAAGAGAACTCTGGGGAATGAAACGCCCATTTCTGCTAATGTGACGAAACGCACACGAAACGTCGTTACAGTATAGAGTTGTCGTTATAGTATAGAGAGTTGTCGTTATAGTGTAGAGAGTTGTCGTTATAGTGTAGAGAGTTGTCGTTATAGTGTAGAGTTGTTATAGAAAGGCAACCAACAATTTCTAATGATACATAAGGGAAAAAATCGGGACTTGGACACCGTGTCGCTATACAAAGGAAGTCGTTATATCGAAGGTCATTATCGAGAGGCTGCACAGTATGTCTGGAGCTATCTGAACACAATACAGAATGTAGATTACTAGGAATAAATTTTACCTGCTCCTGCAAAGGTTCGATGTGGTTGACATAAACATGGGCGTCTCCCAAGGTGTGCACAAAGTCCCCGAGCTGAAAAGAAGAGAAAAAAGCATGACTTAGTTTTAGTTTAGTTAGTTTTATGGCACTCGCAACTGCATTATAAGGTCATATGAGTGCAAACATGACTAACTTATTCCTAGTGCTGTCAGCATACGCCAGAGATCCTTAGAGCAGATAGTTCGCTGCTGTATTGACGTTTACAATGAATTCCCTTTTGTACTTTATTTAAAGGATTAGGCGTTTCATTTCCTGAAAGAGCAGCTATTTCTGTGTCAAGCCTGGTGAATTGGGGAAACGAAATTTTGACAAAGTTGAATTGACTCAACGAACTTCAACACCAACATATTTAAACTCAGTAAACTGCAACAGATATACACAGAATATAATCCAGGAAGGGAAGTACCTGAAAATCTGTCCACTATCTGCATGCTAGACTGAATATTTTGTATCCAAAAGTTTAGCGGAATCCGGATTATTAACCATATTCATACGTCGTGTTTCACTATCGTATCCATACGACGTGGGGAACTCTGAGCCACCACTTTCCAAAGACAAATTTTACTGGTTAATCCTATCCGTATGCTTTGCATGGCAGTCTTTTCTTTTCTTTCTAGTAGTTGGTTTTTACGGCGCTCGCAACTGCATAAGGTCATATGAGCGCCAAGGGGTGGGTGTCAACAGAGAAGTCTTTACAGGGAATCAGACTTACTCTGCTCACCTCTCTAACTTCAACAGCACAAGGTCTGCTTCGACTATCAAGGCACCCCGGAAATAGCGAGTCACAAGAGTGTAACAAACATACAAAAGAAGTAGAGGAAAATGACAATAGTAAGGATTAGGAAAGAAAAAAACAGCAGTTCCCTGTTGTAGATCAGGCACAGTTATGAGCGTGACATGATGAATCAGCCCATTAACAATTCTACTGTGCTTGAACGAGAAATGTCCCCTCTTTGGGAATGGCCTAAAGCCACTTCAGTCAGAGCCACTTCCCCAGGGGGAGCATGGCAGTCTGTCAAAATGATTTTTTGAGAAATACTGAAAGTTTCAAAGAGATCTTCATACTAGAAGTATTCTAAAATGTGAAGAATACAAATACAACCCCGGGGGTACAAGTAGACCCCAGGGCGTACGGATAGGGTTAAATCTATAAAATCGGCACCAGTGTAGGGTATTTTACGTAGTGACAGGCCAGTGACAATCACACAGCGACACTTTCCGCCGGCGGTACACTTACCTCTAGATTCGTCACGTGAGCAATCATGTAGGTGAGCAGGGCATAGCTGGCAATGTTGAACGGAACACCTAAACCCTGTCAAAGGAGATCGGAGAGAAAAATTTGTTTAAAAAATTTAGAATCTTTCATGTGTTTCAAATGTTTAAAAAAAATATAATTTAGAATCTTTCATCTGTGTTTCAAATGTCATCAAAGTTTTTTCAAAATATGCTCAGGTGGCAATGAGATAGGGAGATAGAGAGAAAGGATGAGAGATGATAAGGATGACAGACATTTGATAGTAAAGGAGAAGTAAACCACACTAGAGCACCCCCAAACCACCCGCAATGGCTGTTTAGTGGGGTTACATCATGTGACCTATGCAGTCATACTACCCATACATTTTTAAAAATAAAATAATACAAATCTAACAACAAAAAAAGACTACGTTGCTAAGACATTGCACCGTAAAAGCCCATCCCAAACTTCCCAAAGCAAATCTCTGCCAGTCAGATCTAAAAGAAAAAATAAACGTATAGTTGTTTTTTTTCTTTTTAGTTAATAAAGAAGTCTTAATTTGTCTTATCATATTTGTAACGATCAATACATAACAAAATACAAGCAAAAATGCAGACACCAATTCTCTCGCACAAAGAGAAAGTTTCCAGAAGAAGACCCCTGGCATTACCCCTGTGCCGCTTAGTTTTAGTTTTAGTAAGTGTTTTACAGCACTTGCAACACAATAAGGTCATATAAGTGCCGAAGATTAGAGGTGTTACAAGAGAGTAACAAACACAAAAAAGAAGGAGGGGAGAGATAAAGACGATAGATGTTTAACGGGGAAAGAAGAAGCAAACCACACCAGAGCACCAGCCAACCACCCACTACCCTTGTGCCTTCCCTCCTTTCCTTACCATGTCGGCAGAACGCTGGTACAGCTGGCACGACAGACGATTGTCCGCCACGAAAAACTGGACCAGGCAGTGACAAGGAGGCAGAGCCATCTTAGGAATATCTGTGAGAGACATATGATAAGAAAATGTTAGACGAGTGTCAAAAACACTAATAAAAACTGCTTTAGGAAACAGATGGAAAAGGTCCCACCCTAAGCACAAAAGACATGACCCCTACTACATACTAAATAGAGCAGACCAGGACACAATCTTTAGACTCCGTTGTGGCCACAACAGACTCAAACACCATATGCACACCAAATTAAAAGTGGGAGAAACAGCGATCTGTGCAGCACTGCCTGCGCTACTCAACGTACGTTTGACTCTCACTGTCTACAAACTAGACGTATATATCAATCATTACAAAACCTACAGTGACTGTAAGACATACCCTAAGAAAAACTTACATGAGTCAAACCTACTGTAACGAATACACTGTAACTGAGACGTACGATAAGAAAAAGGTACATGACCAACTGTAACGAATATACTGTTAAGACATACGATAAGAAAAAGTTACATGAGTCAAACTAGTAACGAATACACTGTAACAAATTCACTGTTAAGACATTCGATAAAAATTTTTACAAAAGTCAAACCTGCTGTTACGAATACACTGTACGACATACCATAAGAAAAAGTTACACGAGTCAAACCTGAGTAACGAATACACGTCCAAGACAATAACCTGCACAAAACATCATTTTCCACTCCCCCTTTGATATCTTTTTTTTTTGTGTGTAATAATGACACTGTCCTAGCGCAGGATTGCCTTTGTTTTTGTGGGAGAGTTTTACTGCGCTTGCAGCTGCATAAGGCAGGATTGCCTACTCACCAGCATATATGGTTTTAGTAATCAGCAAAGAGAAAATTAGTAAATCTGGCTTCAAAATTTATAATATGCGATATTCTGCGACAAAGTATCAAATAGAAGAGCAAACACTGAGCAATAACAACCCCCTCAGCGAGTACAGTACACACTACACGCAGTGTTCACCTTTTGGATTCCATGCACACATGATGATGGTGCGGTCATTGGGAGCGTTGCGGATCTTGTCGATTACTTGCTGGAGCTGATCCACGCCCTTGGACGTGTAGTCTGCGCTCATGTTGGAGTACTCAGCACCGAAATGTCGCCACTGGAAGCCATACACTGGACCTAGGTCACCTGGTTTTTTTAAAATCAAAATAGAGGGGACAAATTTCGATATCACTATGTCCTTGTCTGTATATCACACACAAACGTACAAATTTATTCCTGCTGATTTTTTTTTCTCCGAAAATGATAGTCTAACAACATGCACATATGGCGAAATCGGCGGAACACCAAAATCTTTTCACTGGATACAAATTTCCCTATGTACGTACGTGTTTTAAATACAAAGAACATATTAAATGCGCGTATAAGAAAAAAATTGGGACTTGAAAATCTGTTCGCTATGTGCGTGCTCCACTTTATAATTATAATAATAATAATAATAGATAGCATTTGTATAGCGTAAATCCCCGCACAACAGCAAGCTCTATGCGCTTCACAATCTATACTATTACTCCAGCAGACCCGAGAGCATTCTGAAACAACCTCAACTTCCTGGGAAGCATACAGTGCAAGCAGCCATTTATAAGCACTAAAACACTAACATACTGACAAGATCTTTCGCTGTCTATGGCCGGGTACCCATTTCCACCTGGGTGAAGTGGGGAACATTCGTGTAGTGTCTTTCCCAATAACACAAGGTCGGGCCCGCAGCTCGAACCCCTGACCCCACAACCTCACGATTACGAGTCCGGTAGCTTAACCACTAGGCCACCGACGCCACGATAATATTCAATATATACACAGACTCTCAGTCTGTCTTTTCATCTGTCTGTATGTCAGATCGTCTGTTTGTCTGTCAGCCTGTCTGTCAGCCAGTCTGTCTGTCTGTCTGTCTTGGACTCTCTCTCTGTCTGTGTGTGACACACACACACAAACACACTCACATATATATTTATATATAAAAACACTCTCAACAAAAATCATACAAGAAAAAAAATAAGAGCTTTTTTAACCCACACAGCTTTCTCCTGACTGAAACTGTTAGTTATAGTAAGAGTTTTACGGCACTTGCAACAGAATAAGGTCATATAAGTGCCAAAGCATAGAAGTGAAGTGTTACAAGAGAGTAACAAACACAACGCAAAAAAAAGAAAGAGGGAAGAAAAAGACGATAAAAGTTCAATAGGAAAGACGGAGCAAGCCGCACTAGAGTACCCACCAACCTCCCACCCTGACTGGAATAATGAGAGGTCCATACTGCAATGGACAAGAGACTGCTGGAAAAACAGAAAAACAATAACAAACCTGACACTGAACCCTTTTTAACCCTTCCAGCCTCAAGTGTATATTTTCAGCAGCACTTGTACCTCCCACCGTCCCAAGAGCGTATATTCTCAGCCGCACTCGAGCCGCCGCCTGTCCCAGGAGCGTACATTTTCAGCTTCGGGGGGGCGGGGCAGCGGTACCGAATTCATGCATTTTTCGAAATGGCAGCCAACCTAATTAAAAATTTAACTTTCATCTGTTCATTGACCTTTAAACATTATTATGTTATATTATGTGTTATAAAATCTAAACCTCACAACAAAAAAACACTGCGTCCCTTTTTAGAATGCAAGCCTCTTTTTTTTAACACTGTTGTATTGGCTAGGTGGGACTGGGGGTGTGCTGCCTGCTGTTTTTACCTGGGATGAGAGATTAGGGAGTGCAGAAAAAACGCCTGGGGCTGGAAGGGATAGAAAGAATTTCACTGTTATTGCGTCAATTTGCTTCTCTTGTCAGGCAAAAAAAAAACAACAAGCTAATGGAATCCGCTCAGACATATTTCAGCTTCGGGAAGGTTGTTTAGTTTTATATTAGTAAATGTTTTACGGCACTTGCAACACAATAAGGTCGTATATATGTGCCGAAGATTAGAGGTGCTACAAGAGAGTAACAAACACAAAAAAGGAGGGGAAATAAAGACAATAGATGTTTGATAAGAAAGAAGAGCACCCGCCAACCACCCACTCAGGAAGGTTGACTGTATGACAAATAACATAGTACATGTAACATGAGAAATAACTATGGTAATTATCTCTGAATCTCAAAAAGTGGATTACCTTCTTCCAGGTGTTGAAGCCCCCTTCTATCCAAAAATTCTCTCGAGCCGTTAGCGTCCCAAATGTGCACCCCTTTCTCGGACAGTTCTTTCCCATTGGTGCAGCCGCGGATAAACCACAACAGTTCTTCAAGAATGCCCCGCCAGAAAACTCGCTTCGTCGTCAGTAGAGGAAATGCTGAGGATGGGGGAAAATCACATCAAAAGGAAATTTTGACAGAGTTGAATTGACTCAACAAACCTCAACACCAACATATTAACTAAAACTCAGTAAACTGCGACACAACACACGTACACAGAATATAATCTATGAAGGGAAGTGCATCTCCTAACAAGGACATTAATATTTATGCAGAAGGGAATGCATTCCCTAAGGATATTAATAACATACAGAACGGGAGTACATCACCCAAGGATATTAACATGTGGCCCTTGAAAACCAGTAGTAAACATCAAGTGCTCAAATCTCCAAATTTCTTTTAATTTATAATTCGCAGTCACACAGCCAGCAGTACAAAATACTCTATCTGGTCACCCAGCCAGGAGAGTGACTGCAACAGACTTCTCGGGCCTGTCACAGGACTGCGTCAAGTGACCGGAACAGATCATTTTTACTGTTGCACTATTATGGCAAGTGATCGCAAAGTGTTAAATCCAGATTGCTCAGAGTCAGAAGAGAATAAAGACACTATTCATCCCACTGTGACCAGTTGAAAGGAGCTATGTTTAGACATTCAAAGTAAACTGTGAAGAGAGCTATCAATCCATATTCTAACAGATTCATGTACTATAAATCCAAAGTCTAATACAAAGTGAACTGCACACCGCGAAATGAGGTCTGAAAATAAAGTTGAATTTCACACACTCAAAGACTTCACAAAACTTACTATTTCTTAGACTGTATCTCATCTGCATGCCAAATATGGCCTTGGTATCAATTCCTGTTCTGTTGCTCCGGAGACAGCCAGTGCTGATTATTTTCTGAATGGCATCAAGGTATTGATACTCTTCGTGTCTAGGGAAAGGAAAAATAGAAATAAATGTTTGCAACCAACCAATAAGTAATCGCAAGAATATTTCACGTAAACTAAATGCTGGTGAATCTTTCCCTTTTATCACATCAAGTATATATTTAAAAAATTTCTTTTAAATAAATTAAAATTTAAAAAATCGTGCAAAAAGGATAAAAGCTTTCTATGAGGTTCACAATTTATATATTTATCACAACACAAACCCTAGAACTAGAACACTCAGCCGCATTCAAGATTAAGTCTAAGCTTCCCCGACAATTCACAATGCAAGCAGCTGATTAAGCATTCAAATACTACCAAACTGACACAAATCTTACTATCTATACCTTGGTACCCATTTGCACCTGGTTGACAGGAGGAAAATTTGAGCAAAGTGCTTTTCTTAAGAACACAACATCGGACTCCTAATAGGGTTTGAACCCATGACCTTTCGGCTGCAAGCCCAAAAACCTTTTACCACAAGACCACATGCCACAAAACGTGCAAAAGCCTTTTCTGCAGATAGGTTGTTTAAACCAAATGTTTATCAAATGAGTAACAGTAACCAAGAAAAGTAAAAGTTCGATTTGAGAGGATTTGAGAAAATTTGCCAAAATCTGGCTTGCCAACTTTTCAAAATAAAACCCAGCCAGGGACACCCCATTTCGTTTATAACATCAGAATAAGTAAAAACAAACAACAATTCAAAATAAAAAATTACATCAGGTGGGACTGGTTGTGGTGTAGTGGGGTCATTCCAGAGAGTTTACAGTAATACTATTACTGTAAACCCTCTCTGGTCATACTAAAATGCGAAAAGACCCGAAAAGAGGCGAAACAGACGCGAAACGACATCTGACAAGAGTCCCTTCAGACTAAACTTCAGACTCATTTTCAGGGTTATTTTGATCAAATGTGGGGTAAGCCTTACCACCTACGGTCCCTACAAGTTTGTTTATATTCCGCCAAGATGAACACCCGAGACTTCCGGATGAATGCCAAATTGGCGCATGATGTTTTTTCGATGTTTCTCTTTTGTCGCATTACAATTATTACAGTGATTGGACTTTTCTTACTTTAAGGCGCTGGGTACCACTTGACAATCAGAAACATGGAGGCTCACAGCATCAGCAGCAAGGAAACCGCAGAGCTTCATAAATGGATGTTTAAGAAGGATAGTGGGGATCAAGTGGTACGATCGAGTCACAAATGCTCAACTGTGGGAAAGAACAAGCCAAAGGCCAGTAAAGGAAGACAACAGGTGAAGAAATGGAAATGGATTGGGTACACCCAGAGGAGACCCCCGACAAGCATCATCAGACAGGCTTTGACGTGGAATCCACAAGGAAAACGTAAGAAGGGAAGACCAAAGATGACATGGAGGCGAGCAGTACAATCGGAAATGGAAAAGGCGGGGACCTCATGGAAACAGTTAGAAAAGGATGCACAGGACAGGCTTCGCTGGAGAAATGTTGATGGCCTATGCTCCATTGGGAGTTAAAAAGGGCAAGAGAGACAGACCACTTGACAAGTGGAAAATTACGTTGTTAAACGCGTCTTGTGGATTTTTGCCATGCAACCCTGTCAACATGATTTTTTAAATTTTATTTGGCAAGTGTTTTACAGCACTCGCAACTGCATTATAAGGTCATATGAGCGTGCAGGACATTTTCAGTTGGTAGGAAATTTTGGATTTTTTCCAGGTGGCTGCCGAAGACTACTAACCGATATTGGAACACCAAGGATCTTTAACGTGTGCAACTTGCACTGTGGAACCTCTGAGATTTTTCGCCCCTGTTCGAGAAGGCTAGGTGTAGATCGCTTCTTTTTGTGTCTTTTCGTATTTTAGTAACGATGACCCTCATGGCATCCCCGTCACCCAAGCTCTCCAGCTGGTGGCAGAGAGACGTCTTTCTTCCCGCGACACCCAAAAGGGTACATAAGCGGCAGATAAAAGTAAAAGTATGATGACCAGTGTAGTGTACGTAGACTCAAATTCCCCGATTGTCAAATCAGGGACAGTCCCACAAAATTCTGGAGGTTGGCAAGCCTACCCCTCCGCCTCCAGCAGTAACACACTCAAGGCTCAAGGTCAACACATCTCCAAGTACAGCAGTAGCCCTAAATGCAAGGAAGGACTTCCGTAACGAGGGACCACCCGATCAAAGACGATAAAGAAGAGGCCTAACCCTAACCCTAAATTCTGCTCTGTCTCATAGTGGTCGCTCGTTACGGAAGTCCTCCCCCTCCCCTAATGACCTAATGCAATGCAGCAATGTTCAATGTAGGCCTAAAAACAACATATTTACCTGTTACTGTTCACTGTCGACTTTTCTACATCATCAGATGACTTTGCAGAACTTGGAGATCTGTTCTCAATATTCATAGCATCATCAACTAATTTTTGTTTGTCTTGAAGCAGACTTGTATCCATGGATTCCATGATGTTCCTCCTAGAAAAATAGAAGCAACAGCAGAGTTAAAGATCAAGTTTTATCTAACGACCAACCCTCTAAATTCTAGAATCTAGACTCTGGATCTAGATCTAGATCTAGGTACAGGGCGACATGAAACTTCCCATGAAACACACATGAAGTGTACCGAAAACTTTTAAAATTTTAATGGCTCAGAAATTATAAACCATTGTAATTGTAACATTATTGTATTTTGAAGATAGGCCTACATTCTCCGTTCCGTTGCAGGCCGAATTCGAGGTTCGAAGCAGCGTCTTTTAAATGACTCAAATTGTGTCGAAATGGGTATTGGCGTAAAGCATCGAAATTACACAATTGAAGTTACAGGTTTAGATCTAGTTGGGATTATTTAAATTAAAGAATTATATATGAAGTGCCTTACCTCTTCTTTCACAAAGACAGCAAGCAAAGACCAAGCTCACGCGCAAAGCAAGCAACTCCAATTTATTTTAATATTTTCCCTCCAAAACAGTTAAAAAATAGAATTGGATGCTACACTTCCGGCCGGGTGTCGTCCAGTCAAACCAACGGATCGGTTGCCTAGGCTACACTGTAATTTCTTTTAATAAAACGTGATGCATTATGACAATATTTCTACCCCTATAGAAGTATTATTTTTCACAAATAGGATAGATTTACCTATTTTTGTGGGTTATTGAGACAATGTTAGTTTCTGGCCCCCAAAAATCACTCGGTTCATATTCAAGATAAAATGATGGGACAAATAATATTATGGATTATGGAATCTAGGCAACTCAAAAGTTAGGCTATAACACCCCCCTCCCTCGCCTCTCTCTCTCTCTCTCTCTCTCTCTCTCTCTCTCTCTCTCTCTCTCTCTCCAATATACATGTTATTATAATGTGTGTGGGGAGGGGGGGGGCTCCCATATCTCTCTCTTTCTCTCTCTTTCTCTCTCTTTCTCTCTCGCTCTCTCTCTCTCTCGCTCTCTCGCTCTCTCGCTCTCTCTCTCTCTCTCTCTCTCTCTCTCTCTCTCTCTCTCTCTCTTCACAATATAACTATGTTTATACCGTGTGTATATATATGGGGGCTCCCATATCGTGGTCTTGTCAAAGTGCATGATGTTAATCGCCTCTCGTTCAATAAGTCCCGTGGGTTCGAAACGAAACCTGACAACGACGGGACATTTTCTTCTCTGAAATGTTCTCTTTTCACCTCCTTTCCTGATCTCTATAATCATGTGTTCTGTCGTTTGCTTTCTTTCGTCTCCACTTTCTGCCCGCCCCCCTTTGTATTATTTTTCTCTGGGCTACGGTGCGGACTTTTTCTTCAGCCTTTCAGCTGCTACCCCTTGCGCTCACTTGTTGCTATCTTTCAGCCGTGACTTTGTGATCTTAAGGTCGGAATAAGATCAATAACACTTGGTCTTTTTCGCGGCCAAAAAAATATCTCATATCAGAGGTCCGTGTGCAAGCAGAGCACGTTAAAGATACTTTGTGACCCTAAAATCGATAAGAATAGTCTTCGGCCGCCATCCAATTGAAAATGATTAACGTGCTTCGCGTGCTCATAATTAATGACCTGCAGTTGCAATTGCAGTAAAACAGTTGTAAATTATTTTTATTTTTTTAATATAGCCTATATTTATACAAACCTTCTTATAGTTTTCACTCTCCATCTTTCTCTTTCGATCTCCATTCTTTTCTATCTTTCTTTTTCTTTTTTCTTTCTTTCTCTCTCTCTCTCTCTCTTATCTCTCTCTCTCTCTCTCTCTCTCTCTCTCTCTCTCATTCTCACACGCGCGCGCACGCATGGGCGACGCATGCTTGGGCTAAACTAAATAGCTTGACACCCCCCCCCCTGCCCCTTCGCAAACTCCTCTTCCCTAAAAAAATTACAACGTCTGATAGTAGGCTACAACCTACCCTCAGAAAGCCCAGCGGAAACACCACTAGACAGTCGCTGCAGTACGTGGAACCCACGGGGAGCACGAGGCAGGGGTGGGCCTCGGGAAACATGGAGGAGATGTGTTTTAAGGTAAATGAGAGAGATGAAGCTCACTTGAAACGAGCTTGGAAGGATGGCGTGGGACAGAGATAAATGGAAAGAGCTTATTTGTATGTGGCCTTTACCCTGCCAGGGGTTAAGGAATTGATAATGACAACCTAGACCATCATATAAATTATAAGGCGGTCTTTTGAAATACAACCCAAAACTGAAGAATAGTTGTCGTTCTTGAGTACAGCCTAACACTAACAGCCAGTCTCAAATGAAATTATGTCTTATAAGAAAAAAGTGTGGTAAAAATTCGTGGCACAACTTATTGTCAAATATCTCTTTAACGGGTGAATCAATATGTCTCCCATACTTTGCACAGCAGGGTCAATTTGTCTTAACGTAATCATATTTTTCCACAACAATTGAGGCTAGATTTAAAAAACTTTTCTTCATAATCACCAATGACACTTTTTAGTGGCAAAACTAGATCTAGTTACAACAAATTTATAGGCCTACTGAACAATTAAAAAAACCTAAAAAAAGTGCGTTCAATAAAGATAATCTCGTGATTAGAAAAGAATGACAGACTTGCTTTTATATAGCCTAACCGATAAATTGTCCCAGCTGTAATTACCTTTTGAAATCAAAAGAGACATTTTCAAACCCACTGCGGATATTTTATTAGTATTTATTAAGAAATTTTCTAGAATACAGAGGTGATTACAAAAATGACAAATTAATACAAGTCACTGTGCAGAAGCTGGAGAGTCAATGTTAGGTAGTTGAGGAGATATTTGACAATTTAAGTTGAGCCACGATAAGTGCTCAGCAAAGTATGAATCCTTTTAATATACATGTATGTCAATATTCCTAATTGATGCGAGTAAATGACACACACACACGCGCGCCTCCCCCCTCTCTTTCTCTCTCTCTCTCTGTCCTCCCTCCCCCCCTCTCTCTCTCTTTCTCTCTCTCTCTCTCTCACACACACACACGCACACAGTATAGGCCACACACACACACACCGCGCGCGCGCACAAACACACAGGCACAAATTTAACACACCACACACACCGCGTTCCGTCCGTCTTCGAAACATACCAAGTAGGCCTTCCCATTTGCAACTGAGTGGATTGAAGGAAAAAAAACCCTGTAAAATTCTTTTCTCTAACATATAGATTTATGTCTTTAATACGTTTTTGAGGTTTATCCTTTTAAAAGTTTTTGAAGTGATCCAGCCATGATGCTTCATATAGGCCGTGAAACCTTCCTCAGGATTTACGATAGAGCATAGGCCTACACAATGATATATAAGTATTACTCATGGTTAAATTCCAAACAGGCTTATAGTAAGTTGTTGCCTTTCAAGCGTAGTTTTACCAACTCAGGACTAGCCTATCCTATAATTTATTTTTATTAAATATTATTAACTGGTAGGCCGACTGGCCAAATCAAAACCAGTGACCGTTTATTGGTTTGGCTAAATTGTTTCGCGGTCAAACAAGGAATTTATATTTTTATGTTTCTGCCATGCGCAACTTTATGAGGTTCTTACTTCCGCTTCCTTTCTTATTAGAACCTGCTTGCCAAGGTATGTCCCCAATGTGGTGTCGTGGTACTTTCCTTCTATTTTTCAATTTTATGCCTTAAATTCACTTAGTTTTGAGTTTTGTTTGTTATATATTGTTTGGAGCTCTTGTTATAGAATAATTTATACAGTTCCTTTCTTGTACCTTCCTGACAAAATCATAATAAATGGCTCGGACCAATTATCGATAATCGCGTGAACATCCTCTTCATTTCGAGTCTTCCTGTCACAGTATTTTCGTTATGAATTTTCATCATGGAATTACGACTCTGTAGCATATGATCACAATAGAATATACAGTATTTTTGTATAGCTTTTCACATGTGCAACCGTTGTGTTTGGGTTAGAGTCTAGAATCTACTTGAAAAGCCTTAGACTTGTGGTGTTGTTGGTCTTTGGTGGCTCTCTTTTGGGCTTGGGCTTGTTGTTGGGAGAAGTGGTCCCGACGACATGCGACTAAAGTCTAAACGTAGAATGACCCATCTCTTCCTGATTGGCTGCTAATTTTAGTAATGTGATGTCATCACTTCCTGGGATACCCACAGAATAACCGTGGAGTTACCAAAGGTTTTCCGGCACTACTTGGATATGGTGGTCCCGACTTTGGTGACGGAAATATATCCCAGAGAAAATCTAGAAGGCTGCTCTTATTGGCCCACATGGGCAAATAAGCTGGGGCTTATTGGCCCACATGGGCCATTTAATGCGTTGTTTTTTCAATGTATTTCATACGTGGTGTTATCGAAACTTGTTCTCTTTTATTTTTTCTCACTTTATCCCTTCTTGTTAATGTTTTCCTGAGGCATTCCCTCATTCCGTCTCGCACACATTTCTACAAGTCTACAGATTTGATTGTTTGTCAGCGTGTTCCTGCACTTCAGTGTTATTGTTATAATGCAGTAGTAGACTTTGATCATCTGCGAACGGTATTTCATTTAGAATTTAGATTCTGCGGATGTGGGCTTGCTTCTTTCGTCAAAGGGTATAATTGAGTTATTTCTTTGTTTACTCTATGTATACTGTGTTGGATGACAAGATGAAGATGTGTAACTTCTTAGACTTAGACTCTATTGTTCATCTTTTTATTTTTAGCATTAGTATTAGATTGGAAAACTATACATTCTCAATTTAAAATATATGATTGACGGACTTTGTGGATTTGGGGGGGGGAGGGAGAGAGAGAGAGAGAGAGAGAGAGAGAGAGAGAGATTTAGAGTGTTGTGGTTGGGGGGGGGGGGGGGGGGGGGACCAAATACAGGGGAGATAACTCGCAATTTTGTAGGCAAATAAGAAATAATCTAGGGCTAGGGCTAGATCTACATGATCTTTAGTCTTTGGAGATACCGCATGAAATGACATGTTGTTGGGTGGGTCAGTGGCTTCACCTATTATCCGTAACGATGTGTTTCGCACTATTAAATTTCACAATTGTGGCTAACTGTAGGTAGCGTGTCAGCCATGCTCTCTGGTGATAGAAGCATCGCTTAGATTCTAGATCTAGATCTAGATCGTTGATGCTCAGAACAGTAAAAACGCTGATGCTTGAAATTGAAACACGGTAGGCCTAAGACCTAAGCAAACGCAAAGACAATAAAGCGCGCTAAAATTGCCGTAAATACGCCCAGAGACCCCCCCCCCCCCCCAATGTTTGGAAGAGATAAGCTGCATCATCATCGCAGCACTGCATAATATCACATTAGTCATTACTGGTAGGCGTTTCCCAGAAAAATATCGCACCAAACGTCGTACCAAGATAGGTAGATCTATACACGATTCGTGGTGCCATGCAGTGGCTATGTTTAGATCTTGTAGTCACGTTATCGGAGGGGTATCCCGGTCTGATGTCGCACAAGATGGCTGCCTCACCTAAAAATAGTTTGCGTCTTTATGCGTTTAGTCACATGTGTCCCGTCTTAACTTCATAAACATTTATAAATCTACATTAGATCTTGATCTAGATCTATGTACACAATCGGAACAAAAATTTAAGTCGCTAAAAAGGAAAGGGGAAGGAGTTCGCTGAGGTTCGACCGACCAACACACGGAAGAGGGGGGGGCACTCTCCGGGAGAAGTGGTCCCGGCCTAATTAAATGGAAATATGTGACAAGCGGATAGATCTAGATCTAGCTAGAGAATGACAACTAAACGCCATTGGCTGGTATTTATAGTAACAGCCATCTTTGAAGTCGTTGAGGGATTCCCACTTTGTCAGTCATGGTGGCAACACGACAGCACAAGGGCAGCCTGCCGACTCAAGAGTATTTTCTTTGCAACTTGCTGAACTGTTCGGTTCAGTTCACTGTGATTGTGCAGCACTCTTCTTCCTCCCAGATTGGTTCTGATGCTGTACACTACGTAAACTGAGAAGACGACTGAGAGTATGCCTACTTCAATTTGGATAGGCCTTTCGAAAGCAAGTTCAAAGTTCAATGACCCAGTGCAAATTATCGAACGTTTCGACCCAGATAGTTTTTTAAAAGTTTTATAAACACAAGAAATTAAGCTCTTACAAGAGATTGGACTCAATAGGACGCTGAGCTGCAAATGAAGTAATTCGAGACTGCAAGGTTTGCAAATGGATAGGCCTACTGTGAGGTGCAAATGCAGTGTACTAGGGGAAACCACTAGGAACGACTCAAAGAGGGAAGGGGGGGGGGGTGATGAGGGGCAGAAAGCACGGCAGGAAAAATGACAGGGTGGAGGGTTGATGTTATGCCGACCAAAACAACAATGGTGACAGTTTAGACGACAGTCAGTTTCCCAGACGCACTTCATGATTGCTATTTCATTCACTAGGCCTGGGTGTAGTGTGTGTAATTTTGTCAAATCGATTTCCTCGATCTATTTTTTTTTTAACCTAGATCTATTACTCAATAACAAATTCGAGCTCAATTTTGCGAATTTCGAATAAAATAGACCAAAATATGGGGGGGGGGGGGTACCGAAATAATGCCCTATTTTGACACTAAACACTATCACAAACCATAATTTTTGTGACAGTCAAAGAGGGGATATTTTGAGCGGGGTACACCCTAACACTAGCCTAACCCTAAACCCTAACTGTCGTATACTTTGCTCAGTAGACCGTGTCATGGTATGTGCCGGCCTTTTTTTGTGGAACTCCACCGAAAAAAAGGGGGGGGCCTCCTCCCTGCTAAATTCGCTAAATTCACAAAAATAATGGTTTGTGACAGTTTTAAGTGCCAAAATGTTCTCAGCAAATTCTAAAAAAACCCATTAAGATAGTTCTGAAAATCGTCTAAAATGGTTTATGACTGTTACTATAAATCTACCTGTGGTCTTTTCACCCTGGTAACTCAGCTTTTTTACTCAATTTTCGATTTTGTGTATAAAAATCTATCGAGTTAGGGAGGGACTACTACTCCCGAAGAGTGACCCCGTTGGTTTATATTGGTGTAAGATTTAGATAAATCTAGTGGCCATATGAATATTTTGTTTGGTAGCCATATATACATTGGTGTGGCCCCATAAAGTAGATCTTGGTGCAATGTGATATTGATTCTTTCTGTGACATAAGACAAGAGTTAGCCCTTGGCCTAGATCTGTTTGTAATTGTTTTCTGCTTCTCTTTCAGATGCCAGCCAAGGGACCTTTGCAAGCTGTGCAAGTGTTTGGGCGCAAAGTATGTATGAGATGTAGCCTATGCTTTGAAAGTTGGCTTGTTTTTAAACGTTTAGGCAGTTTGTTTGTTTTTTTCAAACCCTTACCATCAAAGTTACAAGAGTTAGAATATATACTGAAATGCAGCAGAAAAAGCTGAATAACCGCAAAGGTCATATTGTACTATTAACTTTCTTGTGACTGTATATGTGCAGATGTCCATATCATGAGTTGGTTCAATGTTTGATTTGTCTTTTTTCATAGCTTTTGTGATGTTGACCTTTTTAAGGATTGTAAATGAGCACTTCTAAACATTTTTTTTTCTTCTTTTAACAGAAAACTGCCACAGCAGTTGCCCACTGCAAACGAGGCAACGGTCTCATCAAGGTGAATGGCCGTCCTCTTGAACAGATGGAGCCAGAGATTCTGAGAATCAAGGTATGTCGCAGTCGAAGATGCTGTCAGGAGTCGATACACCTTTCTGTTTTTTGGGGCGTATCCCATAAAATTTGTACTTTTTAGGCAAGAGTGGTGATTTATTTTTCCTTGTTTCTATTGACAGAACTGCACTAAGTTTTGGCTATGTTCACCAGGAGAGCCTTGAACTGTTTAACCCTATCCGTACATCGTGTTTTCACTATCGTATCCATACGATGTGGGGAACTCTGTGCCACCACTTTCCAAAGAGGATATTTACTAGTTACTCCGATCCGTACGCTTTGCATAGCAGTCTGTCAAAATGATTTTTTGAGAAATACGGAAAGTTTCAAAGAGATCTTCACGCTAGAAGTATTCTAAAATGTGAAGAATGCAACCCCGGGGGTACAAAATCACCTTGGGCGTACGGATAGGGTTAATTAAATCGTCAAAGACGAGTTGAGCACAAATTTTATGTGGACGCTTCATTTCGATTCACTGAATCTTTACACCATTTGGATGATGTACTTTCCCTTACTTCGCAACATACTGTTTTGCATGCACATACCGAAATAGGTAGACAGGGAAAGTCTTTTCGTTGTTGGTGAATTTCAGGTTTTATATGGTCACTTTTATCAAGCAGGGTGGGTGGTTGGCGGGCGCTCTGGGTGGTGTGGTTTGCTCCTTCTTTCCTATCAAACATCTGTCGTCCTTATCTTCCCTTCTTCTTTTTTATGTTTGTTACTCTCTTATAACGCCTCTTTCTGGCGCTCATATGACCTTATGCAGTTGCGAGTGCCGTAAAACCCTTTACTAAAACTAAATAAAACAACAAGCGGGCTAACCCAGATTTCTTGGTTTTCCAGAAATCTTGACCTAACACCAAAAGTGAACATTGAACTTCCTGTAGGAGAAGTTTGATTTCGTTGGTGTGTGTATTTGTTTGGTTATGTAGAGAACTCCCCTTGTCTTTTAAATAGACTGAACAAGGGGCAAAAACTTTTCCTTCGATTTTCTCAAAACCTTTTTCGAGATAGCCCTCTTGTGCTTAAAAGCGACCGTATAAGAACATATTTTTAAAAAAATGTGGGATCAGGAAATCTTTTGACTATGTGCGAACTGATTGTAGTCAAGTTTTAGAAAAATGTGTTATTGTCCTCTTTGTGATAGACACGACAAGTCTTATTTCACCTGTCTGTCTGTGTTTTCCAGCTCCAAGAGCCAGTCCTCCTGTTGGGAAAGGAGAGATTTGCCGGTGTTGACATCAGAGTCAGGGTGAAGGGAGGCGGTCACGTGGCACAGATTTATGGTAAGCTGTAGGGAGAGCATCGTCATTTGTTCTGTTTGAGGAGCCACCCGGTATATTTTGTTGTGGTTGTTGGTGTAAAAAACGTGGTGGGAGGGGGTTAAAAACATGAGGGGGGGGGGTGGCGATCTTTGGTCACAAGTTGAGTAAAATTTTAAATGACATTTTTCTTTTATTTGATAACTGAGTGTTTGGAGGTCTTGCTAATAACCGTTTTCCAAGAGCACAAACATCACTGTTTATAATTATTGCATTTTATGAATCACTGAGTGGTTCTTGTAAAATGGAACTCGAATTTTCCTTCTCAGCATTACATTTTTTGACTTCCAAAATATTAGATTCTTTTCTGTGTTCTAATTTGCAGTAGTGTTCATAATTTTAGTGTTGTAGTAGCCGTCAAGGTGGACTCTTACTGCAGCCAGACAATGAGCTTATTTGGCAAATGTTGGTTGGTGCAGAAGGTGGAATTGTTTTGTTGTGTGCACATGTAGACCCAGGTTGTTATATATAGCTTCGAAAAAAGAAGCTTGTGCTTTGGAAAGCAGCTGTAGACTTGTTAGTTACGCTTGAGTATGAGATGGGGAGGGGGGGGGGAGTGTTGGGTTCCCACATTTTGTGTTTATTGTCCTGAAAAAATGCGGCCCCCCTGTGGTAACCATTAAAAGGATTATTTTGAAAAATAGCTTTGCTTTGACCTAGGGGTAGATGCTTACTTCCCAACAAAAAGGGAATGAAATGTTTGTTTGCCTGTTCTGGGAAGTAAGCATCTACCCCTGCCAGTGTAAGCGAAATCCAGATCGCAGGTAAAAACAAACAGGGCCTCATTCATCGGTAAATACTAAAAGTTGTTTTTCTTTGACGAAAAGTTACAGTAAGAAAAATGTTATAAATTGTCTTGAAATTGCCAGTGTGAATGCTCATCAAGATCTGTGGACTTATTTGCATCTAATCTAAATCTACTACGTGTTGATTTTTACTTTAGTCAGTTTCAGAGAAAGATGTTCTGTTTTATGTTTGTGAAGAGAATTTTTCTTGGTCGATGGTGGGTGGTTCGTGGGTGCTCTGGTGTGGTTTGCTTCTTCTTACCTATCAAACATCTATTGTCCTTATCTCCCCTCCTTCTTTTTTGTGTTTTGTTACTCCCTTGTTGCACCTATTATCTTCGGCACTTGTATTACCTTATTGTGTTGCAAGTGCTGTAAGACTCTTTACTAAAACTAAACTTGGTCGATGTTAAGTAGGAACAACCGTGCACAATCATTGTCAGCTTCTCTCGGGTTGGTCCGTGGAGGAGCTTGTGCTAATTGTGCTACAGTAGAGCTCTCTCGGAGCTCCCTTTTGTCCACACAGCGCTCACACTGACAAGACTTGTGGCGGCTGATCTTTAGGAAAGGGACACTAGCAAACACTTGGATCTGTTGCATTTCTGTGAATTGTCTATACTCTTTTTTTCTTATTTATTGTTACATGCACTGCCTTCTTGAATTCAAGGAGTCCTTGAGAACTCCTTGAATTTGCATTAAATAAAAAAAAAAATCTCCTTAAAACTCCTTCAATTTCGGCGGATCGGACATGGAACATAATTTTAGTCGGAAAATCGAAACTATGATTCCTTTGGGACAAGTGTGGGCCTATTCGGAAATAGACTTTCGGCATGAATTTCCTGACCAAATCTCCTTGAAATTTTACAATTTTCCCTTGAAATCTCCTTGAATTTGGAAGGGGGTTCATGGCAGGAACCCCTCATACAGTGTAGTCTACGTACACCAAATGTGGTTAATAGGAAAACAGGTGTAAACTCTTAAGAAAATAAAATCTCCCCAATTTGAGCAACCTCTTGCCATCGAAAATCCAACTAAACCAAAGACAATCCATCTTTTCCGCAGACTTCATTTTGAGCAGATTCCATTGTAATGTGTTTTCATTTCCTATTTTGTACACAGTTGAAGTCCCATTTGAAGATTTATTTTGTAGTTTTTTTTGTTTTCGCATGAGCCTTCCCTCATCGTTTTCTGCGTTCTTGCTTTTATTGCTGTAGTGATTAACCCCCATAGCATAGACTTGAATAGTCGGGACTGCATCTAATGCCAGTTTGTCCTTGCTCACGTACAATGGCTCATTTGTTCGGTTATGTTTTGTAAAAGAAATGTGTATGTTTTCTAAACCCATCCCATGTTTTTATTTCACAGCTATCAGACAAGCTATTTCCAAGGCTATCGTATCCTACTACCAGAAATGTAAGTTTTTCTTTTTTTCAAGATAATAATGAAAATAATTTTACGGAGGACGACTGGAAGGGTGTTTTGAGGCAGTTGACAATGAGCTTTGTCATGTTTATTCTATTGGGTCATCATAATGAAATGACCAGTGAGGGGGATGTGTGTGTGTGATTTCTCTCCCCCCACCACCACCACTGATGTTTGCTGTCATGTGGAATATTCCTTTTATATTGCCTTGCAACTTGAATGTTGTATACCGAAACAAAAATTCTTGGGGGGGGGGGGGGGGGGGTAAAAAGATAAATAAAGATCGTTTTAGGAAATATATAACTTTATGTGCACAGATTCTTGGAAATGTTCTAACCCACAACTTCAGTTGGGCTCCAAACTGTCACTCTCAGCCTCGCGGTCAGGTCTTAGGTCTAAATTCTACATGCGATTTATCTGAACTGCCCCAAACTCCTGATGCTACGTTTTCATTAGTATCTGATTCATTGTTTGCTTTTCAAGCTCAATTGTGGCGCTTTCCAAGAGAGACTCCTACGAAGTGTTGGAAACGCAATTGCACTTCAATCGGTCTAATATGAAAACTACTTGCCCCAATAATTTAGTTTTGGAATCAACCGGAAGAACAAACATTTTGCATTAACTATATAAAATGAAATCTCTGTCCCAGAGTCTTGTCTTGTCCAGACGACACATCGTTTCTGAACACGCCCAGTCGGAACGGGCAGGTTAAGGGGTAATGTGTTAATCTATAGCTTCTATAACTTATTCACTTTTGTCTGTCTGCGTGAACATTTTAAAAAACTCATTTGTTAATTTACTTACCCATGCCCATGAAACTTTGCATGGCACTAGAGCAAGCCAGTGACCAAGTAAAAAAACAAAAACCCAACAAAAACTTGATTCAGTACTAAATAATAATAATAATAGATAGCATTTGTATAGCGCATATCCCCGCTCAGCAGCAGGCTCTATGCGCTTTACACTATATTATTACCCCAGCAGACCATAGAACACTCCGAAACATTCTCAGCTTCCCGGGAAGCATACAGTGCAAGCAGCCGATTAAGCGCTCAAACACTAACAAACTGACAAGATCTTTTGCTGTCTATAGCCGGGTACCCATTCCCACCTGGGTGAAGTGAGGAAAATTCGTGTAAAGTGCCTTTCCCAAGGACACAACGTCGGGCCCCTGACGGGATTCGAACCCACGACCTTACGGTTGCATGTCCGAGAGCCTAACCACTAGGCCACCGACGCCACAGTACTATAAAAAGTTTTTCTCTTTGGGTCCTATGTTAAAAACCGCTCTTTGGATGCATACACAGGATTACTAAACTAAATAACTTACAGCAACCTAGCCAATAAATTGCTCATTTTGAGACGGCACCACCCAACAAGATAAAATCTTAAACACTTGTACGACCTATTTGTGTTGCGAGTGCCGTAACACTTTCGCTTAAACTAAACTGTGGGTGGTTGGCGGGTGCTCTGGTGTGGTTTGCTCCTTCTTTCCTATAAAAAACCTATCTTTTCTATCTCCCCTCCTTTTTTGTGTTTGTTACTCTTGTAACACCACTTCAGCACTTATATGACCTTAATGTGTTGCCAGTGCCGTAAAACGCTTACTGAAACTTACACTAAACTGAAGTTATCTTGCATTTTGTCCTCCCCAGACGTGGATGAGGCGTCCAAGAAGGAGATCAAGGACATCCTGATCCAGTACGACAGATCGCTGCTGGTTGCTGACCCGAGGCGCTGCGAGCCCAAGAAGTTTGGAGGTCCCGGAGCCCGCGCTCGTTACCAGAAATCTTACCGTTAAGATTATTGTCTGGATGTTTCTCGTCGATTAAAGTTCCCGCTGGGAGTAACAAATTTGTGACTTCCCTGTCTTGTTTTATAGCTCGTCTTGTGTGCATTGCAGTAGGTGGTTGGCGGGTGCTCTGGTATTTTTTACTCCTGCTTTCCTATCAAACGTCAATATCTCCCTTTTCTTTCCTCATCCTTGCTATCGTCATTTTTTCCTCTACTTCTTTTGTATGTTTGTCACTCTCTTGTGGTTGGCGGGTGCTCTGGTGGGGTTTGCTTCTTTTTTCCTATCATACGTCTATCGTCTTTATCTCCTCTCCTTTTTTATGTTTGTTTCTCTCGTGTAACACCTCTAATCTTCGGCACTTATATACCTTATTGTGTTGCTAGTGCTGTAAAACTCTTACTAAAAAAAACTCTCTTGTGAACTGCTATTTCCGGGGTGCCTTGATAGTAGAAGCAGACTAAGTTCTGTTGAGGCTAGAGAGGTGAGCAGAGTAAGTCTGATTCTCTGTTTGGACTTCTCTGTGAGAAGTGTAGCTATTTCACTTCGGATAGACGATGAAAAAAAAGTGATAATGTAGGTTTTTTTTTATACCACTGGCTTTGACCACGCCTGTCGCAGCCAATCCCAACTAAGAGAGATACACCATCCTACAGCAGAAAGACTGAGATAAAAATTCTCCTCACTCTGGAATCGAACTCCGGGTCTCCTGTGTGCAACAGTGAAGCGCCTAACTGCTAACATCTACACCATAGGGGCTGGTAGACCTCAGATCTGAATGTTGATGTATGTCTACATCTCTGACGCTGGTTGATGTTTCCCTGTCTCAGAATCACAAAGTTCTGTTTGCTCGATTGCCTACTTTTGAGAAATTTGACCAAAAAAATTTTGAATTTCACGTGGCAAGCTTTTCCGGACGCAATTCTTTGAATATCTTGATAACGACCACAAATAATCCTACAATTTTGATAGGGCAGATGGAGGACGCTCAATGTTAAAAACAATCAGGAAACGACAAATGCAGTTTTTGGGACACCTGAATATACATAAGGGTCTTGAACATCTAGCTCTCACTGGCAAAATTGAGGGTAAGCGAGGCAGGGGTAGGCCCAGAACAATATACTTTAGGAACCTACACAAATGGGTAACAGGGAAAGATCAGGGAAACGTAGCTTTTCTGAGAGCATCCGAGCAAAGGAATGAATGGAAAATCATGATCGCCGATGACTGTCGCAGATCTGGCACTGGATGATGATGAGATGGAGGAACATTTGGTTTCTGATCTCACGGTCTTAGTCAAAAAACGGCTAAAATGTAAGTGTAATTCTTAGGTGTAGCGGTATGTCAACATCACGGTTGCTGGTTGGCGTTGTGCATATGCGACTGGCAAGTTGGTGACTGCCTGTGGTTGGTTGGCGGGTGCTCTGGTGTGGTATGCTTCTTCTTTCCTTTTAATCATCAATCGTCTTTATCTCCCCTTCTTCTTTTTTATGTTTGTTACTCTCTTGTAACACCTCTAATCTTCTGGCGCTCATATGACCTTATGCTGTTGCGAGCGTAGAAAAACCTCTACTAAAACTTTTTTTAAAAGGTGACTGCCTGGGCTTCAGCGGTCAGGTTTTCAAGCTGCATGTAACACAATGGTGCTTTCTGACACTGACAGGTCACCTGGGGCAAAATTGCAAGGGGGAATGGAGTGCTCCCTTTTTGGGTCTTTTCCTTTCACTTACACTCTTTCTTACTTCTTTGCTGACCTTTTGTGTTGGAAGAAATTCTCAACAAAATCAAAGAACAGAAGAGTAGGTGGTTGGCGGGTGCTCTGGTGTGGTTTGCTTCTTCTTTCCTATCAAACATCTATTGTTCCCATCTCTCTTCCTTTTTGATTTTTTTGTGTTTGTCAATGTTGCTTTCTCGTAACACCTTATCTTTCATTTGGCACTTACTACACGTTATATAACCTAGGCTCAAATTTTGTTGCAAGTGCCGTAAAACTTACCTAAACAAAGAGAAGCTAGAACACTCACTAGTTCATGCTGACTAATTCCAGCGGTCTGGGTACTGCACACATGTACATGTACTGTGTTGTACCTTAAAAAAAAAATAATTTGTAAAATTGTATTATTTTATATTTTAATTTTTTTTAAAGGATTTTATTAAATTATAAAAAAAAAAAATTTTAAAAAATAGATATATACTTTTTTTCTTTAAAATTTATTTTTAAAAAATTGTTTTAATTAAAGAAATTTTTATTTAACAAAAACATTTTATTATGAAAAAAAAAATTTATTATTTATTTTATTTATCTAAATCTATCTATTTTTAAAAAGTGCTGTAACTTTGTAATGGAGCTGTGAACGATAATGGATGAACGGGCTGAGAGCACTGAATTGTGTCATCATCAAAATACCTTTCACTTTTACCCCTGGCAGGGTATAGGCCATACAAACTTCCATTTATCTCTGTCCTGGTCCATCCTTCCAAGCTCGTACCAAGTGAGCTTCGTCTCTCTCATGTCCCTTTCCACACGTCTCCTCCGTGTTTCCCATGGCCTACCCCTGCCTCGTGCCCCCTGTGGGTTCCATTACAGTGACTGTCCTGTGGTGATGTTTCCGCTGGGATTTTTGAGGGTGTGTCCCATCCATCGCCTCTTTCTTAGTCCTATTTCTAATTCTATATCCCACAGCTCTTCATTTCTTATTCTATCCTGTCACTTATCTTCTTAGGATACTCCTCATACTCCTGTGTGGGTGGTTGGCGGGTGGTCTGGTGTGGTTTGCTTCTTCTTTCCTATCATACATCTATCGTCTTTATCTCTCCTTTTTTGTGTTTGTTACTCTCTTGTAACGCCTCTAATCTTTGGCTCTTATATGACCGTAATGTGTTGCAAGTGCCGTAAAACTCTTACTGAAACTTCATATATCTGTAAGGGCCAACTTGTGCTGAGAGTGAGAGATACAATATCCCAGCAGAAAGTCAAAGTCAAAGTGAGATTGAAAGACAGAGATAAAAATTTCTTCCGACTTAGAGTCCTGTGTGTGTGATGATAAAACGCCTACACGCTACACCACAGATGCCAGTAGGTAAAGGCTCATGTCTCTCTCGTCTTGGGAAAGGACAACACGTGTGGACACATTACATATAGGCCTACCTGATATGGTCGCTTTTAAGCACAAGTTTTTGCCCCTTTCAGTTTCTATAAACAGTAACAGGGATGCCAAATCTCCGGTTTTTTCATACACTTGCAAAGGAAAGGGGGATGGTAAGAGAAATGTTTTTGTTTGCTCATTGAAAGATTTTACAAGGTTCGTTTTAGGTGAGGTGTGATGCTCCGCTCATTTTCAGTTAAAAAGAAAAATCATTTGGCATCCCTGTATAAAAGACAAGGAGAGTTTTCTCTATAACCGAACAAATAAAAGATACACCAAGGAAACCAAACTTTTATAGTAGTGTAGTAGTAGGTAGGGCAACGCCCACTTTTGGCATTCATCAAGATTTCTGGAAACCCCCGAAATCTGGGTTAGGCCGCTTGTCCTTGAAAGTAAAAGTAAAAGCGACCATTTATTGCTGGGAAAGGGCGACACATGTACAAGTAGGCTACATGTACACATTACCTCATTTATTGCTGGGAAAGAAGTAGACTGACACAAACAACAGAGGGAAAAGATGGAAGTAGGTTTTATCAGTTTCATTTTTTTGCAAGAGTTTTATTTTCAACACTTGCAACACAAATGAGTCATATTATATCTGCTGAAGATTAGAGGTTTTACTAGAAAGTAACATTCAAAGTAAAGGAGAGAGACAAAGACGATAAATGTTGGATGGAAGGCAGCCGCTATTTTCATGACATGTTGTGGAAAAAAAATCTACGTGCGTTTTCACGACTTGATTTTCTCTTTTTTCTCTTTGCACCAATCAGTAAACAGCTGGGTCATGCCAAAGGGTATAGATTAGACTCTCTGCCCTCTGCTGGCCATGCTTTTCTCTCTCTCTCTCAATAAGAATGGCGGATGCAAATCCCCATCCCTTCGAAGTGGGACGAATCTTTAAATTGTATTGTGAGTTGACGGAAAGAAGAAGCAAACCACACCAGAGCACCTGTCAACCACCCACAACCTCCCAACTGCCCCAGTATAATAATAATGAATGATAATGGTGATGATACGAAAATAATAATGATGACACAAATTGGAAAAAGAAACACAACAAGAGCTTTCAATCATATATTTTTTTTTCTTCAAATTTTATTGCTGCTTGTCCAAATTCTCTCAGTTAGTTACATCATGTACGTACTACTATGCACACGTGTACCTCTAGTGGTTGCAAAACTGACGTGGTGAACAGAACCACTACAGTCGGCCAGTAGTAGTAGTGCTTTTGCAGCAAGCTGACCACACGAGTGGACGATATTACAAGTGGTGCTATCTTGAAGTAGATTCATTTACACACACACCAAAACTGAGATTGTTGACTGAAACACGTTTTTTTTTTTTTTTAGCTGACAAAATGAAAGAGAATAGATAGAGTGAGAGAGAGGTAGAGAGAGAGAGAGAGATGGGTGATGTAGAAGAAGTAGAAGATTATGAACATGCTGCCAATATAACAATTATTACATGGGTAAGATTTTTATGCTTAGATTTGTGATGGCCTTATCATATCTGCAAACATACAGAAGAATTATGCGGAACTATCATCATTAAATTAACAACACACAATAAGACACGTAATTTCTCGTAAAGCAAAAGTGGTGAGCAAATCTGTGTCCTCTCTAATTTTTTACAACATGTGCAAACCTGCCCCCTGTATAGTAGTAGTATTCCCTGAAAAATTTATCCCCCCCCCCCCCCCCCCCAAATTTTTACTACTCAGTGAACGAACAAACAGAAGGTCTTGGGGACATTCTTTGTTACTCGCTAATCCAACAAATGATGTACAAGCACAAGCACAAAAAAAAGTATTGTATAATTCGCACAAAGTATACCAAAATAACAAAACAAACCAAGAGTGGGTTGGTTGGGGGAAGGCACATTACTAGAAATATAAACAAACCGCGCATAGGAGATGT